CTGCGTACCACATGGGTGGGAGGAAATCGGCATGGGGGAGCAGCTGAAGGTCGGCTGTTTCTTGTACGAGGCTCTCTTGCTACACTGTGGGGCGAAGAAGGCTTAACTGCATTAAGAAACACTTGCCTGGTACGATGGTACAAATAAAAACAATACCTGAGTCACAATGATTTCTTCATGAGGACTGTTTCATCATGTCTTCTCCTTCCCTTCCTCTTCCTCCCTTTTCTAGGACGGGAGTCTGAACTCCAGCCCTTGGAGTTTGCTAAGCAAGGCAAGTGTTCTATCACTTGAGCTCTGTGTGTGTGTGTGTGTGTGTGTGTGTGTGTATCCTGGGGCTTGAACTCTGGGCCTGGGCGCTGTCCCTCGGCTCTTCAGCTCAAGGATGGTGCTCTACCACTTGAGCCACAGCGCCACTTCTGGCTTTTTCTGCTTATGTGGTGCTGAGGAATCGAACCCAGAGCCTCATGCATGCGAGGCAAGCAGTCTACCACTGAGCCACCTTCCCAGCCCCAGAATGTGTCTGATTCCTTGGAAAGGAGTCTGCCTTTACTCCTCCTCCTCCTCCTCCTCCTCCTCCTCCTGCTCCTCCTCCTTCTTCAGATCCTGTTGAGTTAAAGAAAAGAGGAAATCTCCCAACAAAGACAGGGTAGAGTAGATGGTAGCTTGTTGCAGATGATATTCAAAAAGGAGGGAGGAAAGTAGGGGAAGAAGGAAGGAGGGAAAGGATCGAGGAAGGGAGGGAGGGAAGGGGAGAAGGAGGGAGGGAAGGGAAGCAATTTGGAGACCCAGCTCAGACTCTGTGATAGAACTACCCTGGACCTCACAAGAGTAGCTGCGTTCTGTGTGTGTGTGTGTGTGTGTGTGTGCATGTGCATGTGTGCATGCGTGTGTGTGTGTGTGTGTGTGTGTGTGTGTGTGTGTGTGTATAATGGTCCTGGGGTTTGAACTCATGCAGAGCCTGGGCGCTGTCCCTGAGCTTCTTTTTTGCTCAAGGCTAACACTCTACCACAGCACCACTTCTGGCTTTTTCTGTGTATGTGGTCCTGAGGAATGGAACCCAGGGCTTCATGCATGCAAGACAAGCACTCTCCCACTAAGCCACCTTCCCAGCCTGGCACTGCATTTTTGATGGCACTATTTCAATCAGAATCCTGAGGCCCCGGGATTTGAGGGTGCAGGGTGGGGCAGGGTGGAGGGAGGGGTGTTAGGGAATAGAAGGGATGTGCCAGGCAGAAAAGCTTCACAGATGCAGATTCACAGATCTGGAAGTGATACCAGAGAACCCGACCCCTTGGTAGGAACTGAAAGTTACCCATGAAGACGGACCGCACAGAGTGCGGATGGGGTGAGCAGGAACGAGGAGGCTCCTGTGGTTTAGTGGAGATGACCACAAGAAGCTAGGCAAGCTCTAGGGAAGGTTTGCATTTTCCTTGGTCAGCGAATGAGTCAAATTTGGGGAAGGGATGGGTGGAGTTGGGGCAGGGGATGTGAGCCCATCCTTAGAGGTGAAATTTAGAAGGCTCCATCTAGCTGCAGTCCATTTGGTTTTTGAATCCGAAGAGTGTACGGGTTGGAGGTATGGTTCTGTTTGACAGAGTGCTGGCCACTCACAGAAAGTGGCACGTAGTAGGTTTGAGTCCTGGTCTTGTATCTACCTCCCCTCCCCCGCCAAAAAAAATAATCAGAAGAGTGTAGATTCTCAGGGATTAAAAAAAAAATGAGGGCTGGGAAGGTGGCTCAGTGGTAGAGCGCTTGCCTTGCATGCCTGAGGCCCTGGGTTCGAATCCTCAGCACCACATAAGCAAAAAGAAAAAAGCCGGAAGTAGTGCTGTGGCTCAAGTGGTAGAGCGCTAGCCTTGAGCTGAAGAGCTGAGGGACAGCGCCCAGGCCCAGAGTGCAGGCCCCA